AAACGGTCGAATCTAATTGTATTTTCCTTGTAGTGCTCGTTATGTTATGCAAATTAAGAGATGGTTCCATATGAATGTATTTAGTTGTGAACTGTCTTTTCAGAACTCTCTGTGAGAGACTTTGAATTCTGGAAGCGACGAAATTTCTCTTCAAGTCCACTTGATCGCTCGGCAACTTCCGACCGTAATTTCCGAATCAGCCTTGATAGGTATTAGCCCCCCTCGTCCATGTAGAATGTCCAGCCCAACGCCACCCCTCGACGTGTTTACCGAGAACCCATATCTAAACCATCCTGGGCTCTCGCTCATAGAAGGAGAAGTCCTCTGGGAATACGCCAAGCTCGCGCAGAATCTGAAGCTGGTGCGTCGATGCACGCGTTCAGTGCGAATTCAACTTGAACGACGCCCGCTAGCTCAAGCAAAAGACGCGCAGCCTGACTGAGAAGCCCGATACCGCGCTCCTTGCGCGCCTCCGCGTCTTGGAGAACAAGATGGGGCTGATCTTGACGCTGGTGAGCACAAACACGTCCACAGCGTCGGAATCGCGCCGACCATTGCGCCTTTTAGTTCAAAGCGTCGGTGTGGGGTGTTATCAACGAGCAGAACGTCGCGGAGCCGTCTCCGAACAGCCTCGACTTTACGAGATGATTACAATTCCGAAACTATATCCTACATACGCATGCCGCCCATCCGCCCCGCCACCGCACTGACGTTATCCGCATCCCAAATCACCAAGTTCCCATCGACGCCGCTCGTGCTGACCTTGACGACGCGTCCACCACTAGACTGGTACGGCCGCACGCTCGTGATGGTGTTCTGGTGCACCGTCAACAGCTTGGTGTCAGTCGTCCCGCCAGCGCCCGACTGCCCGCGTGTGTCTGCGTCGCGGAACGTCGAGAACGCGGCCGAGTTGAGGCGCCCCACGGAGGAGTTGCCGCCGAAGCCCGCGCGCGTGCCGGCAGCCTTGGCGGAGGTGCTGTCGTCGAGGCTGCCGACGCCCTGCCATCCGCTCTCGGAGCCTGAGAAGACGACCGGCTGGCAGTCGTGGCCCGCGGCTACGATGGTGTCCTCGGCCGTCCATGTTAGAGTGACAAAAGGGAGGGACGAAATGCGGATGTTGTAGATCGTAGGGCCGCCTGGGTAGACGATACTGATAGAGCTGTCGTGGCCTGAGTATACAGAATCAGCTTTGAGTAGCTACAGGAAGCGGGCTGCGTACTGGCAAACGCAAGGACGTCGCCAGAGGGCGAGAAGCCGACAGCATGTACCCAGCCGCCGGCGGGACTGGCGTACTCGCCGCAGATGGTGTTAAAGGGCAGCTTGGACCCCCAGACCGTAGCGGTGGGTCTGAAAGTTGTTAGCTCCCGGAGATGCAGAAAAACGAGGGCGCCCTACTTGTCATCGACTTCCTTGATGTATGCTGAAAAGACGCGAGCCTTCATGTCGGCGCTTCCGGCGGCGAGCAACACATTATTCGGGTGCCAGTCGACGGACAGGACTGTAGACCGGATGGGCTTCTTCAGGAGCTTGGAAACCCACCAGTTGTTCTCGGGGTCGAAGGAACAGATTGCGATCGCGCTGGTGATTAAATAAGACATGATCGGAGAGTGAACGACAACAAAAAGCTCACCGCGCACCACTGGCCACGGCGAACTTGTCTTCCTTGGGGCTCCATCTGACGTGGGTGGCGGCCCTGTTGATGCGCAGCAGGACGAGGGTCGGCTTCCAGATGAGTTTGCCGGTCTCGGGATCGGGGGTCTGCTGCCAGACGTAGGCATTCCTGTCCTGCGAGGCGGTGACGATGCGGTTGGAGTTGGGCGCCCAGTCGATGGAGGTGATTAGTTTGTCGTGCTGTGCGCCGTATCAGCACATTTAGGGACATTGAGTAGAGCGCGTGCCTCTGAGAGAGTCTCTGTGGACGTCCAGGCCGCTCCCTGGCGCGTAAAGATCTGGGCATCGTTGGAGTTCAAGCTAACTGCGACCTCTAGAGAAATGGATGTGGTTAGAGTGGAATCGCGGTTGTTGCGGGGCACGGACGCTTGTGGTCTGCACTGAAGGCATGGCATGTAATGGGAGTCTGGGCGAGGTTGAATACTTCGGGGGCCATTGAGCAGCAGGACGAGCAGTCTACTGCTGCGGTGAGAGTTGTTGATGTGCCAAATAACGCGCCGCCAAGGCGTGACCGCCGCGCTTTGTTGATTCCTTCCATCATGCCAACTTCATTCACCGGAGCCCTCCAGCCCAAGAAGAAATCAGAGCTCCAACAGATTGCCGCTGCTCTGGAAATCGACTCTTCGGGCACCAAGGATGACCTCCAATCTCGCATAAAAAAGCACCTCGACAACAACCAGGCCGAACTCGAGGACGACCCCACTTTTGCTGGTCTCTTTGGCCGCAGAAAACGCAGCGTCCAGCCCACGCTGTACGCACTCTCCCTCCCCTATTAAATGCCCCCCTCACCCCCAGCAGTTCCCGCGTCGAGCCCCGCCGCGGCGCCGTCCCACTCAACCCCGTCCGCGAATCAACCCCCGTCGACGACAACCGCGACGTTTCTGCGTACTTGAAATCAAATCCCTTCTCCCCCGGGACACCCAGCAGTCTCCCTCCGCTCCCAGAGAGCGCGGACACGAGCATGGAGATGGTTCATGCCGATAGGAGCATTATTGACCACCTCCCCCTCTCCCGTCCAGACGTCAGCCAGGTCGTCCAGCGCTTCAAGGAGAGCGAGGAGAGCGCCCGCCGCTCCGCCAACGAGGGCCTTATTGCATTCAGAGGAGTGCGTCTTGTCTCCCATGACAACACATACACTCACCTCCTACTAGTTTCTCTCAAATTCCCGCAATATCTGGTCGTTAACCGCCGTATTTGAGGTGCTATTCATCCTCTATACGATAATACCCTGGCAGACGTATAGTGTGCGTCAAGTACCCCTGTCGCGCCTAGTATTATGATTTACACCTTTCGCAGCTGACTCTCGCCGGCACCACATTCGCGCTGCCGTATCCCCCGTCGTACACACTCAACTACCCCGGCTTCATCCCTACGCTTACGCACTGGTTTGTCCCGACGCTACTCCTCCCCGCGCTCGTTGGCACGGTCGTCTCCTTCTCCCCCGCCGTATCAACGCCCTCGCCAACGCGCGCGGTCCCCTTTGACCCCCTAACGGCATCCATCATCCGCCTCGCGCTCCAGTTCGCGTACAACCCCGCCACGGCACCCACACCGGGCACGGGCCTGGGCCCTGTCTATGCGCAAGACGTTCTCGGAGTGCGCCTGCGCGTCCTCAACGCCTCCGTCGGTCTCGCGTTTGCGTTTGCCGAGGCGATCAAGGGCGCGCCCGCCGTCTGGGCCAAGGAGCTCCTTGCCCGCAAGGAGGACGACGCCGGCAGCGACGCTGGGCAGGCGCCGCGGCGCCGTGCCCTCACCACGGAGGAGACCGTCGTCGATCTCGAGTAGAGACACTCCGTCTACCCATTGCTACGTTCCGTTCCCCTCGTCGTGCTCTTGCTTTCGTTTTGTTTTGGCTTATGGCTTACTTATTTCCTTTTTATGACCCCCCCCCGTATCACGCCATGGTATATCCGTCCACCCACTGTTGTAACAACACGGCTGTACACACTCTGTTATGTTAATGTTGCTGCTGGAGGCAATCGAGTATCTATGTTGAAAACGCAAAAATATGGAGAATGTACCATTACAGCTAGGGAAATAAATCTTATTACTGAGGCCTTAGACGAATGCATGGAGCACGAGATAATTTATGGGGCGGAATGACGGTGAAAGCACCAAGAGCCTACTTACTCCAAGAACGAAACCTCTTTTTTGGATCGAGGGGTAAGGACATAGGCGCTGTTGGGGGGGACACTGAACGTGAAAACAACCAATTTTGTCTCAGAGATCTGTTCAGGATGACGTGTTAGCGATTTCGAAGAAAAAAATAAGGGAATTTTGCTTACTGCCAAATGTCTTCCCGGGCACGCATATCAAACGCTAACGGATCCCGATCGGGCCGGACCGGAAGGTTGAGCAGTGAGGAGAACGTGAGGTTGAGGTTCAGGGAAGAACAGAACAGGGATCAAACCTTTCGGGAGCAGGTATTTTCCTCTAGGAGCGTATCTCCCTTGACCACCCTCTGGCTTCCTCCGATGCAGTCGAACCTGGTCCTAAATGTCTCCCAGCCTGCGCTTGAACGAGGCTTCGCGAGCGCATAATACACTCCGGACAGTATCGGTAGATTTTTGACCGCAGAATTACATCGATGAATGGCAAGAGAGATGTGTATTGCGGAGTGCGTCTTCCCCTACGCCGTCGTTCAAGACGTCGGGGCTAGGCTTGGCGGCATTACATAACGCACACATACGCGCAAACATGCTCATCCATATCGCCCAAAACGGGAATAGTGGGATCAACGGTCTGTGTGGTTAAGATTTCGGCTAGGGCCTAAGATTCTGGAAATTTTTTCGGAGATAAAACTCAAGCTGAATCCATCCTTGCGAAAGCACAGGGGCAGATTACATCCTATGGAAACCACAGGTCATTTTATGCCGGGTATGCTGTGATCTGTGGCTGCGGTGATTCCACAGGCGGAGTTCAGGCTTTGAACGCGAGATTAAGCGACGGCCTTGCTGAAGATGGCTCTGTGTCATTGTGACTGTCAAGTCCTAATGAGTTATTATACCGTATGTCATTCATTGTTTGACTTGGATACTTGTTCGACGGATTCAGCTCTGCCCCTCTCCCTCCCCACTTCCCTATATGTACTCTCTTGCTCCATCTGCCCCCGCTCTTTTTGATTCAATTCCCTCATATCTCGGCCATTTGTTATTCAATTATTGACTTTTAAGGACTCATTCCGCTGGAAATTTAGACCTCTCTCTCCTCCACGGGTCCACGACCCCTTGAAGGCCGCTGTAGCACAAAGGTATGCATCGAATTCCTACTTTGAATACCGCTATTTTTTGAAAAGGTAGAACTGTTGGAGTGGCAAACAAAAATTACCCAACCGCTGATGGGGATCGAACCCACAACCTTCGCCTAACGAGATCAAAGTAGGAAAGCGATGCACTACCTTTGTGCTACAGCGGCATTGTTGTCGTCGCGGAGGGTGCATAGTCGAGGCGGGGGGTCAAGGGGAGTCGAACGAGCCTAGGAACATGTAAATCGAATAACAAATGGGCGAGAACGGATTGAAATATGCGTGGGACGATTTCGAGGAACGGAACTCCAAGACAGATCTGCGTTCTCGAATGCGAGTGGAACAGCTCAGCTGCTTGAACGGGAAGGTGGGCTTGTGATTTACCTCAGACCTGAGCAGATTTTACTTCGAGCTAAAATTATTTCGAGACCCATTATAGTACGCACGAGAATCCGGGGTGTCCCCATAAAACAACTGTACTTGGACTGGAATACAACTGTACTGGGACTGGACTTGCGTCCTGTGGATCCACAGGACGGATTTAGGGGTCCGATCTGACAGCTGCCACTCAGTTTCCCGATCGGGAGGCTTCACCCGGCCGACTCGCGCCTGTTCAACCAAGAATGCTCTACTCGCTGGAGAGGGAGACGGGAGCATGGGTCAACCTGAAATTCTGCTCATACAACGTCGTATGATAAATACAGTATTCAGAATGTAACTCGGAATTGACCGAACTCTGATCCCATCTGCAAACAATCAACGGCAGGCTTGATCCGAACCTAGTCTGATTCGCTGCCTCATCAGATCTATGTTTATTTCCGTGTTCACCAAATGGAGTTTTGGAACAGATGCCGGCAGACTCTCACAATGGCACAACAACCTCCATGTTCGTATTCGTGTCCTTTTGAGAATGCGACTCAGACTCTTTGCGACAGTTTCTCTCCTCATCACGCGGTGAGGTCATTACATATCGACTGTATCTCGCCTTTGATAAAACCGCCCAATCCGTCACGGCCACACAGACGCCCTCCCAAAAAAAAACAGCCTCTGTCCCTGCGCAAAGTTACTGTCCGCATAATTTACAAGTGCACTCCAACGCAACAGACACGCGCCATTACTCCCAGCGATGCCACGATCAGGTCGATCTAAGCTGTGCGGAAATCTTCAGCGTAGGTTGGTTCAAGAGGGGCAGGGTGCTGGGTCCTTTCCCTCGAAAACGCTCACAAAACTGTCAGATCACACGAACAGCACAGCCCTGCATAGCCACTGATAAAGAAACGCCGTCTGCCAAACTCGAACCATGTCGTTGACTAGATTCGACCTTGCTATCCCAGCGCTCTAGTCGCCCATAGTAGGTCCTTGTATTCGATTTCGATGCCAATTTTAACCCCCCTTTCAGTTCATCTAATATAATTTCGTTGCTTATGGACCCAGTCAAAAAAATCTGCGCAATGTCCGCAAAGTTCTATCTCGGTTTTCCATTCGACTTCGTTCCATTCGACTTCGTTCCATTCGACTTCGTTGCAATGTAGGGTTGATTTCCCTGGTGGCTACGACTTGGAGTAGTTTAATTCTCCAATTTCTGCGTGCGGCATGCATTTTCCAAAGTATTTTACGGTATTTTTCTTGAAATATTGATGATGCCACCCCTCCGATCGAGCCAGATTCGGACAGAGGGAGCGCACATTGATGCCCATATACGGACTGTCTTTGACGCGTCAATCCTGCGACCCAACGAAAGTATGTTTATCCCCTACTGTGCTCCTTCTTCCTATTCAACCTGTTGCTAGATGTACTCCGAGGAACTTGTAAGTCCACGAAGAGCCAAGAAGAGCTATGCGCTCACGTCTCTCTCCAGCCGGCGGAGGAGAAGCAGCCAGAGAAGAAGGCGAGAACAAGCCAGAACGACGTACGTCTTGTGTGTCGATTCATGCTGCTTATCGAGCTCACTTCATTCCTAGGTTGATTCCGCTGCCACTATATTCCTCCCTGCTGAGGATGAAGATCATCCGATAAGAGCAGACCTCCAAGATGCGCTTTTTGAAGTGACGGCGGTGCGTCACAGTTTCCTTCCCTGCGGCTTGCCCATTCAACCATATGAACAGAGACCACGTTACGAGAAAAATAATCAAAAGAGGAGAGACCAACGCCAAGCTCAAGCCGACATTGAAACCGAGGATCTCGACGCAGCAGACCCAGCCAAAGTAGCCATCGCTATCAAAGTCTGGACGTCCCGCGTCCAGAAACACCTCGAAATCTATTCACAAGTCGGGCGCATGCTAGACGGTGTACGAGATTCACAGCTACTTGGGGTTGCGTTTACTGCCTCGTCCAAAGAAGACGGCCTGTGTTCCAACACTGGAGACGCGGACGCAGCTTGGGCCAATATCGACGCACCAACCGTCAAATGGCTGACCGAGTTGGCTAAGAATCCTCTTCAAGTTGAGCTCGCTGAAGCCATGGGCAACGGTGTCCTGATTGAGAGCAACGAGGAGGCTGATCCCATGGAGATAGACGGCACGGGATTCTATCATCGTCTCTTTGAAATGGAGGGAACGGCAGATGAAGAGTTTTCGGAAGAGCGTGACGGCATTCGCACCAGCAAGACGCTCCTTGCAGATGCCGTTATTCGGTACTTGGCCTCATACCCGGCGGATACCCCATGGGGCATCTTCATCCTCATCCTCCTCGATTTCCCTCTCGACGCAATTCACGAGCGTTTACATCCTATATTGACCAAGTTAGGATTCGCCACTTTGGTTAATGCCGTACTTATAGAAATCGCACGACTTCCATCATACACATCATTTGTTCCTCCCATCCTTACCTCTCCAGTCACGATCGGATACAGCGGGGAGTCTGGAAGCGTCACTCCCTGGCAGCGTGTTCAGCAGGATGCCAACAAAGATGTTCAGTCTCGTTACGGCAACTTCGTCCGTGCAAACTCGGGCTTCGTGTCCGTTCGAGCCTACGATATCCCAAGCCTCCGGTTACCCCAATCCGTGGGCATCAAACTTGACCGTAACGCGAGAGTGCGCGAGTATGGCCTGGTGTCTTTATTCCGTGGTGCTGCTCTAAACTCCTCCACCGGCGGCTGGCTGCGTGAATATTCCGCTCCGTCATGGGCAATCTCTCTCAGGGATTCGCTTTTCCCCATCCCGTCCCAACCTTTCACTGGCAAAGCGAGTCCAGCTATGATAGCAAAGATCTTGAAATGCTGCCAAGACGAGCTTCGGTACCTGCGGAAAAAACATCCTGGCGAAATAATTTCCGATTCTGCTTTAGAAGCTGCTCTTCGAAATCTCACATGCGTCTCCGAGTTAGACGGGCATACAATGTTTCTGTGCGTAATGAAAGATATCAGCCAAGAAGACTTCTTTGGCTTGATATCTGGAATTTGGACCATCAGTACGGGTCGTGCGCTTAGGGAACATAGATCGATACTGGCGCAACTCTTTCCGGGTGTTCTCGACCTCGAAGGAGACCTGCAGACCGACACCATTTCACATTGGGTTGGACCATATGTGGATTTCTGGCGTTGGACGCTTCGCCATCTTTGGTTTTGGCTTCACATCCTCTGGTTCTCTCGTTACCTTCAGATCACCCTCCCCATCCTCTTGACGTCATGGTCCAATCCCCTTTATAGATCTTTCACCACTCGTCTCCTAATTACGGTTTGGGACCGCATTCCTCACGACGTTCGCGCTCAAATCCTAGACGGATATACACCTGATAACATCTACCACTACATTCCTCTCGAGCCGAAGGAGGGCTGGTACCCTACCTGCAAGTCCGGAGACTACCTGTCTTCGGTGGGAGTTCTCCATATCCTACAGTCCGGACCAAGCACCACCATCTTACATCTATACATCCCAGAACTCGATCCAGGGGCGCCCAAATATGCCCCCAGAGAACAACGGTGCATGGAGAACCTGTCATTCTGTGTTCGACTCATCATCGGAATTGCGACCCACGAGATCGAGGTGCATCGCCTTCGCGGGATTGTACCCAACTACGACGACGAGAAGAAGGCCTGGCACTACATGCAGGTCCTCTCAGCTTCCATTGAAGCCCGTGTCGTGGGCAGCGGTTTACGAGCCAAGATTGATCTCCTCAAGACGGAGCTGCAAGAAATTCAGCTCACTGACCGGCATTTCCGCAGCCTTGTCAAATCCACTATATTTCGCACAAGAGGGGTGCAGCGCGGACTGGCGATCAATCACCTGGCAGCGCGTGCAGAAGATCGTCAAACCCAATTCAACTCTCTTCTGGATATGTGTGACGCCAACGTCAGAGGTGGGATGACAGCCGATCCTTTCAAACTCGTTCCTCGCCCTTGGCGCGATTCTATCGGTTCCAACGAGCACTGGAACTGGTTCTGCTCTCTTAAAGAAGGCACATCTATATCACATTCTGCCCGCAATTTCGCCAACACCGACGAGGGCTACCAGAGGGTTCTCGAAAACCAGCAAAAAATCGGACTCTGGCGAATACAGCTGGGCGTCGCGAATCGGATGGGAACTGCGCAGATGCGCAAACTAATGCAGGAAGCGATGGAGTTTGTTCTCCGAATCTGGGATGGACAAGAAATAAAGGAGTTGTATCGATCTTTCAGGGCTGGGACTTGTCCCTTCTGTGACCTTGCCGTTGTTGGCCACCACGACACGAGCGAGCATAGATGTCAAGACCCAGACGACTCCACCAGCACCACATCCATCCCCGTCAAACAGCAGTCCTTCCCGAACCTTGATCAGTTGAGGACACCAAATGATATAATATCCCAACAACCGCTTCTCTATCTCCTTGCCGACGGTGGCGACAACCATGACGAAGCTCAAGTCCTGAGCCACGTCATGGATCAATATAACCTATCCGCCATCACCGTAGACACTATTTTCAAGCCCACATACGCACTCAACTTCCTGCGAGAGCGGCTGCATGCCGACGACATATGGCCCATTCGCAAGCTAGCAGCGGAGCGGAGCTCTGAGATCATCTACATCCCGACGGACGCTACGTCTGAAACCGCCATGATGCTGGCAGTCGATTGGCTATTAGATGACGACGACGACCTCCCCCTTGTGCTTCACACTTTGAAAGCTGAAGATCGACGCGCCTGGGACCGCCAGAACATGAACGAGCTGCTGGAGTGGGGCTTACATTCTGCTGA